ATGCTATCATGCACTGACACGCTCCAAATACAGCTATTGGAAGTTAGAACTCTCACAAGACAGTTTTTGGCCAGAGGCGCGGGCGGTCGCTTTGAGCGACGAAGGTGAAGGTGGCCACCATGCCTTTGTGGTTGCTTCGAACTCTGCTACGGTGACGGCCATCGACGTCTCTGACCCGGCTCGTCGACGGGAGATCTGGGGAGTTGTGCTGTTCGTATAGAGGACTAAAGTGCGATCACTGACAACTATAGCCATAGCAAATCCATGCCGCCAGCCGCATTTTTTACCGTTCTCCTTCACGATTGGGGCAACTAGTGCTTAGTGGCTGAGACCTGCAGAGGCAAATATGCGCGTGGTTGGGTCTTTGCAGGCATCTTGGTGGCGAGATCAGATGGCTAACTTGTATTGGTGTTTCTGGTCCTTTGAGGCCTATCCAAGCATGCGCAACTTATAGCAGACGCCAGAAATTTGGAACATCAACATCCTCATGCCCTTAAGCTAAAGTATAGGGGATCCTAGCACCAATCCTCTTAAACCCATGTTCCAACTTTCTGGGGTTCACTGCAGGGTGAACGCCAAGGCTGAGGCAGTGCTATGTCCCATGCCGGTAAGGTACCAATTGCAATAGCCTCACTTCTGATTCCTATTTGATTGATCCGATGCGCGAAGCCGTGCCAGTTGCTGTTTCTGAGCTGTAGAAGGTTCAGCGCTAGAGTCGCACGGGAAGAAAGCCTTGGTGGCAGTTGTGCATCTAATGCAGGGCAGTGCAAGGGTCCTGGTCATGGTTGTATGCCCCCCGAATCCCCCCGACTCAGACCGCAGCAGCTAAGGACAAAGTGGCCCTCAGCGGTGCCCGGGCCATCGTTGTCAAGGGAATGTATGCCTTTGTCGCAGGCGCCCGCCGGCCTCGACCCCCGAAATCCAGAATAAGATCCGCATTCCAATGCGATTTCCTGCCGTCAGCATTGTGAGAAGACTCGGGGTTTGAGACAGTTGAGCTTGAGACCCGCGTGCTTGCAGTTGTGAAGCTTGCTTTCTGGATGCAGGAGAGTGCACGTAGCATAGCATTGTGGCAGCTGCCGGGAAGGCACCTATTCGCACACATTGTCGATTATCGACATCTCCCAGCCTGCGCACATGGCTTTGACAGGCAGAGGGGGCTTGTCATGTTATCGCATGTCTGCAGATGCCAGGCAGGATCGGAACAACGTTGTAGGCACAGAATGCGGCTACATGGCCCGCTGTACTTTAGGGGCTGGCAGTGGGCAATCCATGCAACCAACTAAAGCTCTTCTGGGTCTGCGTGCAGATGTCGGATGCTGGCCTCAGGAACTTACCACGATGCTGATGACATGCAGTTTCCGACCGGCATCGACGTTTTTGGCGACCTTGGCCCGATATAAGCGAAGCAGCTGTTTTGGTAGTACGGGGGGAGTTTTCGAGTGAAAACCGGGGTGCGAAATGAAAGGGAGAAGGCAGAGTATGGGCACAATGAGAGCACCCCGGAGCTTGTATCATGGACTGATATATACCAGCATTTGTGCATCTCGTGTGTTCCAAGCCTCAGCTGAACTGAGCGGCATGGCAAGAGATAAAGCTCCAACGCAGGCTCTGAAGAAGCTGTGCGGGAAGGGCGGGAGCCGAGCGAATACGTTGTGCGGCCGAGCAAATCTCCGTCGCTTTGTATGGTGTGACTGTGACCTCCAAGGCGATGGAAATGTGGAAGGAGTCCTCGTCATAGTGCTTATAATGCCTCTGTAGATGACGATGAAAACATGCAAGATGTGCAAGCACATAGAAAAGTGAGGAACGATGCGGGTAAGCATACGGGGCACATCATGGACAAGCGTTGTACAACAAGCACTGAGGTCACAATGCTTTCATCCAAGAACATGAAAGTTGCGTGTCTGACAGTAGCGTTAGGAAGCAAGTTGAGACATGCACGAAGTGTCGCAATTCCGTGCTAAGACAACTTCGTGCTTGTCGCGAGCTCCTCGGGCCATGCGCTGGTCATCGTCGATGTCTCGAACCCAGCGTCGCCGCAGAAATACAGCTGCCGGGCCGCTGAAGCAGTTCTGGACGTTTGCAGGTGCTGAAGTTTGCATTGCCGAACATGACATGGTCTAAGATGTCTAAGTAGGCATCCATTCTAGACACCATGGGTTAGCCAAGGCGTTGTCAAAGACGCCCCAAGCCTGCGAGAAGCACGTTGCGTCATCGTGCAGGGCAAGTATGCCTATGTCGCAGACTTGCATTCAAGCTACGTGATATCATGCGGGCGAGTTGAGACGGAATAGCCATGAAGACTTTCGGCACAGTGACTATGCTGCTGCTCTCCCATTTATCTAGCCCCTCGATTGGCCACGCAGGTACGACAGCTGTAGACTCGACCTGTCAGTGACTACCTACCTTGTCGAACCTGCGTGAAGACTGCCACCAAGGTCGCCAGTGCCACGCCCAACTCGCTTTCTGCGGTCACCTCAGATTCGAGCCGGGAAAAGCCGCGTTCGAACGAGTCGTCGTAAGTGGAAGCACGTTGTGGTTGTGGACGGTTGTGGTATGTTTTGGCTCTGCACCTGGTGAATTATTCTGAGCTGATTGTCGTGCGACGAGTTTCATGTATAATGTAGGTTGAGTGCTAAAAAATAATGTAGGTTGACTTGTTTTCATGGCTCCCGACTGTGGCCAAGCCCGACACCCAGGTTATTGATATCTCGGACATGCGCAATCCTCTTCTTGTCTCCATTGTGGAACGCGCAACTGCCGACATGGCAAGCCACGTTGCTGTCGACTGTGCCTTGGGCAGAGTCAGAACCGTCGATCAGAACTTCTTCTTTTCAGGATCCTCGGCCGAAGTCAAAGTCTTGAGGCCGCTTTGCATACGTGGCGAGTGCCTACAACGACGCCCTTACTGTCATTGACATCCGCGACCCTCGGGCACCTCGCTACGTTGGAACCCTGAAGGTTCGGACCTCGGCATGTCATTTTGCAATGGGGGCCAGTGACGACAGAGGTTGGCCAGTAGTGGGGCATGTTACAGCATGTTGAAACGGGAAGATCATGCACCCTGTGCATTCCGATACGGCCAAGGACAACTCCACACAGAACGGCATCGAGACGGCCGCTGGGCTTTCAGTTGAGAGCGTTGAGTCCTCGGCTCACAGCAGGAGCACCTTGTTCCTGCCGCTTCTACTGAACCTAATCATGCGACCACCTGGCCATTACGCAGTTTCCTGAGCAGTTTTGGCGTCAGCAACTTGGGTCTGAAGGGACCACGGTGTCTTGATGTTTGTTTTGATCGGAAATTTCCGGACCGAGAGAACATATGTATGTACTGCATGCAGTTTCATGTACTCGCGGTGATTCCGGACGATGGAAAGCGACAACATCCTGCCTCTGCAGCAGGTGGCTATTGCAGGGAAGTATGGAGTTTTTGTCAGCCCGGCGACGGACGCAATGGTTGCTCCTGGGTGACATTTCGTGCATGACATGGGCCATTGTTCCCCTCGTGCACACACCGACCCCCTGGCTCCGTTCGGCTCGCCCCATGCGATTCTCCAGGCATGGCAGCTGCCGTATTACTGCGATGCAGGGTCTCCGTCTGAGGCACAGCAGTTTGGAGAATCTCGGCAGCAGTCGATGCGGCTAGTGAAGAAGCAGTTTTCCATGAAGCGTCTTCGTGTCTCCGGCGTGTGCAAGGACTGTTCCCGCCGCGTGCACAGTTGTAGCTAGCCGTATGTGCCGTCAGGGTAGGCTAGCAGTCAGACGGACCAGGGAGTGTGAGACAGCGTGATACATTGCCATTGCGCCGCTCGTTTCTTGTATGCGGTTCGACTCCCATGAATGCAATTTGGCTGATTGTAGGGTGCAGGGATGTGCAGGGGGACTAAAGGTTCGGACAGACCAATCTCGCCCCACGGTAGTCAGCTTACAGCACCCGATGCAGAATCGATGTATTTCTTACCTAGTCTGACATGTTCGCTGTACCTGCAAGCTACACATCGCGTGGATGTCCTGCACAGGAAGAGGCGGAGGCAAACGTGCCAGTGGCAGAGCAAGTGCCAGAGGAAGAGGCGGAGGCAAACGTGCCAGTGACAGAGGAAGAGGCGGAGGCAAACGTGCCAGTGACAGAGGAAGTGCCAGAGGAAGAGGCAGAGGCCAACCTGCCAAATGCACCGGTGTGGTGAGATCTGAGTGCTGCCTGGCCTCTGTTTATGTGAGATCAGCAAATCGTGAGACGGAGCCACAGTCCCTGCAATTGCGGCCTTCAGACGATTAGTCTGCATGCCTCCACTGTAGTCGTGCGAAGTGTCGTGGCTCTTCCTTTTTCTACAGCACTGCCTGCGAGTCCATTGTGCTATATAGTTAATATATAATTGCTGTGAAGTCCCATCCTGTGAACGAGCCTGTGTGAATTCAGCTAGCAGCAGGTCGTGATGTTGTTGTTGAGACTAGGGACGCAGGATCGTGAAGCTTTCCACGAAGTGAACACAAGGCAGCATAGGATCAAAACAAAAAGCCTGCATGACAAGTTTTGTTGTTTTTGCCTACCCCTCGCATGATGTGCTGTGCACCTGAGTTATTTTGTTCAAGCCTGCTTCATTGCAACATGCTGATGCCCAGTTCTATGAGAGCCCTCACTATGACGAGCTCCCGACGTAGGACACGTCATTTGATCCCGCGAGAATGATAGTGTGCGGCAAGCGAAGCAAGCAGAGTTCAGCTGTGGAGAGGTTCGCAGCTTTATGGATGTCAGAATCCCACCAAGCCAGGAGAGCCTTGCAACCTGCGATGCAGATTGGACACGAGGTTCCACATGGTTTTAAGATGCCGAGCAAACACGCATCACCTCGCAAAAGCGAATTGATGCAGATGATGCCGTGAGGTAAAAATGACGTCGGTGTGCAGTGCTTCCAGTTTACTGTGCTCACTGGGTCAAACATGGGGCAGCGGCTCATCCCATCTTCTGTTGGCATGTTGCCCCAGCTGGCATAGACCAGGTCGACTTCACCGTGCGTCTCCTGTTTGTGGGTTCTGCGCCAATGCCAAATCTACATGCCCGAGGTGGCTGTGCAGGGGTTGCCGCGCCCAGCTGCTTTGCGCGGGACAGTCATGGATAAAGGTCCCAGGATCTCCCAGGGCTCGAGCCGAGTTAGCCGCTCTCCACGTCCAGCGTAAGGATGTTTAAGAAAGCGGCAAAGACCCGCCTGTAGCAGTTGCGTCTGCACCCGGCCGATCGTGTTCAGGTATGTGCTACAAGTAGGGATGTGTTGTTGCTTTCTACCCTGTCCATTACCCTGTCCGATCTGTGAGGAGTGTATGCATTGCATGCTGTCTCAGTTCTTGTTTTTTTTTCGCTTCTTGCTGCTACTGGTAGCGTGATTGCTTCCAGATTTGGTTTGTTGTGGACTTAGCCGCAGCGGAGACAGAAGGGAACGGTGGAACGCTCAGATCCACCTTAAACCTTGAAACTGACGCCTGCTTATGCATGACCCTGATTGAATGACCGACTGACTGACTAATTGACGGGACGCCAATGATGCTCATGATGCCTGTGCTTGGTGGGCCCGGAAAAGGGGCGGGTTTTGGGGGGTTGTGCATCTGTAGCTGCCTCTGGGAGAGGCGACGGCTTTCCTCGGAACGCCGGTCCTGTCTGTGACTGAGGTAAATTTTGTGTCAGTTTTCCTGTTAAGCGCTCGCCGGCCGCTGCTTTCTCGGGTCGCAGCATTCAGACCGGTATGTACAAGCTCTAAACCTCAAAGCTACTTGCTTCGCCAGAACATAGCAGAGGTCCAGTAGCCAAGAGTCACGCTGACACAGCGCCAAGTGAGACGAAAACAGCCAGTGTCCTTCCTGCTCCGCAGCTTCCCCATGGCCCCCGCTTAGTGAGCTTTCGTCTTGGGGCACAAGTTCACGTAAACAGGTCGATAGAGAGATAGATAGACAGACGGATAGATAGAGAAAGTACCTGCACTTCAGCTATATGGTATAATAATATATATATATATACACACAATGCAAACATATATGTCTACAGGGATGTTTTCGTGTGTTCATGTGTTGTCGACACAAATTTGACACGTATCACATACAGTCCAGCCATTAAATCCTTTCAGCGTGCACAGTTGCTGACGGTTAGTAGTGGAGCAATGCCTCCTGCGAGGTGAAGGCTTGAGTATTAATTTATGTTATGATGCTGTCTTCAATTTACTGTCAAGCCTTGTGCCTCACACGCGTGACGGACATGTGTGGGGCCTTGCCAGCTGTGTACGAGAGTGAGAGTCGAATCCGTTTCAGCGAGACGGAGCGTTGGTTGAAAATCTTAGCTTCATCAGCACGGTTCTCGCGCGCTACATTCGGGGAGGCATGTATGAGACGACCTGTGCTCTACCCATCGTGCCACTGGCACCCACTGCTGCATACGTACTTGAGTTCTCGGAGTCGACACCTGAGTTTGTTCAGTCGTAGCTTAGCTTATTCGTTGTTTTACTCGTAGCGTATCCGTAGCATATTTGAACAGCGAGCATGCAAAGCATGGCCTTGCGGAGGTGAAGATTGAGGTTGCCAATGGAGAAGAGGTTCTGCCCCAGTTTTGGATGTGTCCCGCGAGCTGTGGCTATGGATTGCAGTTGCATGGGAGGGATACGCAGGTATTGTGTCATGTGCAGGTCGCACTGACGCTGTGAAGGGGTCCTTCTGATCAACTACCAGGATTGGGGTGTTAGCTCCTTCGTCGGGGTATGAGTCACCAGAAGGTGCAGGAGCTGTCGGTCGAGGTGTGTGCTTGGTTGCGAACTCGCTCGGCCCACAAGCCATCAAATCCAGCACACAGCACACAAGTTCCTGAACTGAAGACTTTCTTCGGACGCTGGTTTGAATGACATGACTTCTAGTACGCCAAGCCCCGCATCTAAATCTACACTGTGAGCCAAAACCTTTGAGAGCCAGTTGTTTTTTGAACGTGTATGTGCAATGGCAGACTCTCAAGTTGTCAAGTCCCACTGATCCAGTGGCAACATACGACAGCTAGAAGGCCTTGCCGGCTACGAGAGCTGCCGTAGCCCCTAGAACATACCTCGGTCGACATGAGTAGAAGATTTAGATGAGTCAACTGGCTGCTTTCTGCAGCATGCGGCTGATACTGAGCTAGCAGAGAGCCGGCTGCAGCCTCAGATTATGTTGGTAACAAAACCTCGCGGAGCCGGCTTGAGTTCAGTCTTACTTCGGCAGTGAGGAGGCAGGATTGAACGGTTCCCAGCATTGCCTGGATTTTAGTGTCGGGGTGAGTAAATACAAAAGCTCAAAGAATTCCTGGGTTTGTAAGTGCAAGGAAGCGGCCGGATTGATATATGGTGCGACATTCTAAGCTGGGCGGGTGGGGGGGGGGAAAAAAAAAATATATATATATA